GCCTCTCTGTTCCAGCTCAGCATGGTGCTGCCGCAGAGGCTGTGACCCTTCGGTGGCCACATGGGTGGCCAGTGCTACGTTCCATTTGAGGGTCACGGTCCACAATTCGAGCAAGCTTTGAAATTGATTGTATTATTTTTGTAAGTATAACAAGTAGATTAAACTTTACTTTTTGAGGGTAAAATATTGAATCATATATATACCGTATGTGTATATATTTATAGAGTGAGATATACCATCTGTTGTTATGCCATTCTTTTTTTAATTTTTTTTTTATCTTTACTCGAGGATATTTTTTTTCCATTTTTTATTCAGATAGAGCAGGAGGGAGAGAGGAAGAGAGAGAGAAACGTCAATGTGAAAGGGACACATCGAGTGGCCGCCACCCGCATGACCCAACCAGGGCCGGGGACAAACTGTAGCCAAGGTACATGCCCTTAGCGGGAACGGAACCCGGGTCTCTGTGGACCGCAGGCCGACGCTGCAACCGCTGAGCCAAACTGGCCAGGGCTGTTATGCTATTCTTATCTTCACCTTTTAAAACAAATACATGTGAGAAAGAGAAGCGTGCGGTGTGCATACATATCTTCTAGCATTGCCAGATTGGTCCAGGTGATTCTAATCTAGACTTTTATTTGGCCAGAGTTTTAGGTATGTAAAAATTGTGTCTAAAAATGGTAATAAAAATGTAGTCATTCTGTTTCATAGTGCAGTTATTTTTTGTGACGATTCTTATTAATAATTCTGCTTTCATCAGTATTGCTTTGGACAGAAAGATTGAAGTCTAGACCATCTCCCGAAAAGATAGTGACAGTTGTTTTTCTTACTTATGTTACAATAGCTCTGCGTCCTGTGATTCTACACAGACCTGATGTGTTCACGGTGAATCAGACATAACATTTACTTATTTTCCACACGATAACTGGTGCTGCTTTCAGTAATAAAACTGAATTATGTTTACAGATCTAAAAACAATCTGCGCTATGAGGTCATTTTTCTTATATGGCCATAGTTAAATAATTTGTTTGTATGACTGGTTTTTATAATAAAACCTGTTAAGGTTTTATTCCCTTATATTCAGCACAGATTTAAGACTCAAAATGAACAAATTGAAAGAAATAAAACGTGCCCAGCCGGTGTGACTCAGTGGTTGAACATCGACCCATGCATGCCAGTTCGATTCCTGGTCAGGGCACATGCCCAGGTTGTGGGCCAAATCCCCAGTGGGGGGCGTGCAGGAGGTGGCCAGTCAATGTTCTCTCTCTCTGATGTTTCTATTTCTCTCTTCCTCTCTCTCTAAAATCGATAAAGAAAAAAGAAAAGAAAAAGAAATAATACTTGAGATCTTTTCAAAAGTGTAACTTGTTTATATTTACATATTTTTCTCACCTTTTAAATTTTATTTACTTTTAAACAGGTGGGTGAGGCTTATTTACTTTAAAGCTTTTGTTCACTCACTCTATTTGTGGGTTTTTTTGCTCAATGACTTTATTGCAGAATAATTTAAGTAGGGTAAACAGCATCTACTAAAGTGCATAATTGGATGGGTTTTGACAGTTCTATATACTCTGAAGCCATGGACAGAATCACGATAAAGGCCCATTTTTTTTGTCACCCTCTAAAGATTCCTGAGCCTCTTTGCCGTCCACTACCCACCCTGTCCCGCCTGCCACAGGGAACCAGTGACCTGCTTTTTGTCACTGTAAATTAATTTGCTCTATCATGTAGTATGTACTCTTGTGTAAGTCTTTGTGTGGACACATGTTTTCATTTTTCTGGGGTAATTACTTAGAAGGGAGACGACTGGGCTGTGTGATGACTCTGTGCTTAGCTTTTTAAGAAACGGCCGCTGAGGTCGTCTTTAATTTCTCTCAGCCGTGTTCCGCAGTCTCGGTGCAGGCCTTGCACGCTGTTGCTTACATTTACTTTGGTGCTGTTTTAAATGGAACTGCTTGCTGCTATTATTTAAAAGTGTAATTGATTGTTGGGTTACTAACCTTTTATCCTATGAATTTTCTAAATTTATTTACTTGTTCCACTATTTTAATTTTTTTTAATTCTTGAGAATTTTCAGTATAAACAATGTTTGTATGAATAGAAATCATTTTACTTGTGTTTATCCAATATTTATGCCTTTACTCTTTTGTCCCTCTTCATCTCTTCATTATTAGTATTATCTTTATTTTTAAATCTATCGTGTCTAATGTAAATATACCCCCTCCTGCTGCCTTGTGGTTACTGAATACAGGTGCTATCTTTTCCAGCCCCCCCCCCCCCCAATATATTTGTCTCATTCAATGTTAAGTGTGGCTCTTATAGTTAGCATAAAGTTTGGTCTTTTCATTGAATATAGTCTGATAACTTATTCTTTTTAAATGAAGTATTTTATATATATTTAATATAATGTCATTGTTGGACTTATACTTTGTCTTGTTCTTTGTTAGTCTGTGACTCGTGTTTTTTGTCTGTTCCCCTTTTCTGCCATATTCTGCGTTGACCTGCATTTTGCTAGTGTTTGTTTATCTGGGAATGTCTTCACCTCCCCGTCAGTACTGAAGTATAGTTTTGCTGGATATAGAATTCTTGATTGATACTTTTTCTTTCAGCACTTTAACTATAGTATTCTTCTGTTAGCCTCAGTTGTTTCTAAGTCAGCTCTTATTGGTATTTTTTCCCTCTATCCAAAGTCAGCTGTTAAACATGTAGCTAGCTGTTCCCTGTATAATGAATTTTCCTCTTGCTACTCTCAAGATTTTCTTACTGTCTTTTCTTTTTAGCAGTATGATTATGATGGTTGTAGGTGTGACTCTCCAGGTGCTTATTGATATTTGCTGAGCTTCTTTTACTGTACATTAATGTGTTTCATGAAACTTGGGAATGCGTCAGCCATTTAAAAAGATTTCTTCTGCCTTTTCCTCTAGTTTTTTCATATCAGAATTCTTATTGCACGCATGTTGAAATACTTCAGTTGTCCCATAGGTCTAAGGGTCTAATCATTTTTCTTAAAATTTTTTTCATATATAATCCTTTGATTAAGTAATATCATTCCATCTTCAATTTCACTCTTTTCCTCTGCCATCTCAAATCTACTGGTTTTCCATGTAGTGATTTTTATTACTATTATAGTTCTCATTGCTAGCATTTTTGTTTAGTTCTCTTTTATACTGCTTCCTTTTTTTTCATTCCCTTTTTGTTAAATCAAGGTTATTATATTTTTCTGTAATTTTTGATAATTTAAAAACATTCTTAGACCATCTGTGCAGTTGTTACTTGAAAACTTTCTTTGCTACATTGAAATCTGGGCCAATTTTCTATTTTTATATTGACTTTTATTTTTCTTCCTGAATCTGGGTCACGGTATATATTTTATTTTAAACGCATCTTATAATTTCTTTCTGTTGTTGAAAATAGGATATATTTTGTGTAGTATGGTGTGGTAAGTTTGTATTTTAATTTATTTTTTAAGGAATGTCTCTTTTTTCCTTTAACTTTTACATGGTTTTAAAACCATGAAATTTTACCTCACTGTGGTGAATAGATATCAGCGTTTCTGTTCAGTTTTTAAATGCTTATTTATTTTACCTTGACTTTCTAGGTATTTTTTCCTGAGAATGGCAAACAATTGATTGGGGCAAAATTTGTATCAAACACCTTGAACCCATTAAGGTCTCTGCCATTTTCATGCAATGAGGGTACATTCAGGGTTACCTGGTTGTCAAGCCCACTTCCCAGAGCCTTCGCTGTCTGCTGTGTTCCCTTGGGTTTCCCCTGCACCTGCCAGGACGTCCGGGAGCGTCACCGGGTCCTGTCGTTGGTCTCGTTTGTGGGATCTCCTGCCGCACTCCGTGTAGTCTGACAGTGGATCGAACGGGGCCGGCATGCCTGTGTAGCAGTGTTGTGAGATTTCCTTATTTGCTGTCCACCACCTTTGTCACTTTTAACTGACAACAAGTGTGGGTTTTGCCCTGGCAGGTGTGGCTCGGTAGGTTAGGCATCGTACCGGGCATCGAAAGCTTGCCAGTTTGATTCCTGGTGAGGCCAGATACCTGGGTTGTGGGCTTGGTCCCTGGTAGAGGGTGTGCAGGAGGCAGCTGATCGATGTTGCTCTCAGACTGATGTCTCTGTGTCTCACTGTCTCTCTGTCTTTCTGCCTCTCTTCCTTTCTTTCTCTCTCCCTCTTTTCTTCTCTCCCTCTCTCCTTCTCTTCTCCCTTCCGCTGTCTCTACAAAAGTCAATGAAAACATCTTTAAAAAGCTCCTGTGGGTTTTTGCTGTCTACTTCAGATCACTTCTTCCCTCTACTCCACTGGCTCAGAGGCCATGGTTTTTGAGCCGGTCAGATGTCGGTTAAACCTCTGTGCTCCCTCACAAAGTTGAGGGGTGAGCCGTTACATCTTCAAAAGTTTCGAAAGTTGAGGAGTGAGCTGTTACTTCTTCAAACGTTTCTTTTGCCTCCTTTTCTCTCTGTCTCTTATTTTGGGACTTTAATTAATTAACTATATGTTAGACCTATTGCAATTGTTCTTCAGATCTCTGAGTGTCTTTTAACTTTTTTTTTCAAATTGAATCTTTTCTCTCTTTCTTCTTTATATTGGATGATTGCTACTGATCTGTCTTCAAACTCACTGATTCTTTAGCTCCATTTTGTTATTAAGCCCATTTTTTTATTTTAGATATTTTATTGTTTTGCTGAAATTTTCTTTCTTTTCATTTTTTCCAAACATATTTCCTTTACTTTACTTCATATAGTTTCAATAGATACTTATAAGTTCCTTTAAAATAATTCTGGCATCTTACCCATCATGTTTGCCATATATCTTTTTGGCTTGAGATTAGGTCACATTTTTCTGACTTTTCCTAAGTCAAGTAATTGTGGATTGCATCTTGGACATTTTGAGTATTATGGATTTTGTTGTATTGCTTCAAAGACTGTTGGTGTTTTCATTTTACAGGCAGTTAACTTGATTACCAGCAAGTAGCATCCGTCATGTCTGTAGTACTCAGCCACTCATACGCCTCTGATATTCGAGCTTTAATGTCAGTCTGCTTTCAGTCTCGTGATGTTGACGGCCAGCCTTTCCCCGTGGACGCACACTGGACATCCTTAGGGTAAAGCCTCCAGAAAGCGCGGTCCGCTTGCTTCAGTCTTTGACTTCTCTCTAAAAAGCTCCAGCTTTTGTTCAGTCTCCAGATTCATCAGATAGTTATATTTTTAGTATTTTGCCCGGACTTCATGGCTGTTATTTGTGCAATTTGGTTTGTTAGAAGCTTATTACTTTATAATAATAAGTAAAATTATTTCTAGAAGTAGAAAACTTCCAATTTATTTTTAACAATAGTTCTAAATTTTATCCTCAAGGCATTATATGCTCATTGTGGAAAATTGGGAGGAGTTAATAAAGTGTAATAAATGTAACAAAAAATCCCCCTTAATTCACTTTAACATTTGATATAATTCTTTTGGGTATTACATAACTGAATGTGCTATACATAAAATTTTAAAATCTGCTTTTGATTAAAATGATGTAGGAGGTGATTTTCTATTGCCATTAAATATTCTTGGTAGACATTTTTATGGCAGTATAACATTCCACAAGAATGTATTATAACGATTTAAATGACCATGTCTTAATGCTTCTTGCTTGGTTTTTGATAATTGTTTACTTTCATAGATGTCCCTGTGCTGGACATCCTTGTGAACACATCATTGTATCCTTTTATCATTTTCTTAGAATACATGCCTATTTGATTAACTGCTTTGGTTGAACTTTTTTCTTATTTAAAAAAATGGACATGTTCCTTTTTAAAGTGATCTGTTCATATTCTATGCCTGTTAAAGATATGTTTCATTCTATTTGTTTGGATAACTCTTTTTAAAACTGTTTTAGCAGTAGGCGAGAGAAGCTAATTTTACACCTGTGTTATTAGCTATAAGAGTAGTCTCTTCAGTGTATCATTCCTGTTTGATTACGGACTTGAGAATCTTCACATTTGCTATATCTTCCCATCTGCCTCGTAATCCAGAGTTTGCTAAGCTGATGGAATATGACCAATAGAATCTGTTATTTAAAATATACATGTATTGGATTGGAACTTTAAAGAAGTTTCAGTCTCTTATAATTTTTCCTTTTTTAATCCTCACCCCAGGCTATGTTTATTGATTTTAAGTAGGAGAGGAAGTGGGGAAAGAGAGGGGTTGCCTTCCATACGCACCCAACTGGGGGTAGAACCCGAAACCTTGGTGTGTGCCCTGACCTGGAATTGAACCCTAACCTTTTTGGTGTATGGGACCACACCAAATGAGCCACCCGGCCGGGGCAGCTTTTCATAATTTTTCACTTGGTCTAGAAAAGTAATTTTCTTATTCTTTTAAAGTATGAAAAACTGCTTTCTTTTCATTGTAATGTTTTTATATGTAGTTTCATATTTCAGTAGATGGTGTTATGTATCTGAAAATATTTGTACTATTTCAAGTGATATTCGTGAGATTTTTGACATGAATATGACTTGTTAACAGTTCAGATCGGTGCCCCCTGTCTGCACTGGGCAGGGCCTCCGGGGGCAGCCGGCTGCCTTCTGCAGACAGCATGTGCTCAGCCCCTCGGCGGGGGGGGGGAGCGAAGGCTCTGCATCTCTGCATCACGCACGGTGTTCTCACCTAGAGCTCTTTTCTCGTTCAGCGTCACGAGCTGAGATCCATTTTTCTCCTCTGCTCGGCACCCACTGAGGGTTCATTGCACGTTGTCCTCTTGGGCCCACATTGTCTGCCAGTGTGCTTTCTGTGTCCAAGAATCAGGGCTAAGAGTGTATTTAATTATAAGACATCATGATGGATCATCTCATTAAATAAGAGTGATTCCAGCTAATACCTCACACAACATATTCGCTGTGTGGCGAATAGTATAGGACTGACCACCACATCTGAATCATTAGAGCCAATAATTTATGTATAAGCCTAGGGATACTGTGCATGGAAAGAATAACTTTATCTTTGAAAATAAATTTGAAAAGCAGAATAAAAATTAAGATGCATAAACCTAATTACATAGGAATATGAAGAAGCAATGTATGGGGAAAGCATTATGGAAAATATGTGTAAATACTGAGTTTAATTTACTGATAAACAGATTTCATTAACATGCCTTGTTTTGCTGCCCGAATGCCTTTGTCAGGGCACCATCAGTATGGTGTGCCCTGCACATGGAGCGGAAGCTTGGCCCAGGAAGTGATCCCCCTTTGGCTGGGTCTTGAATTGTAAATCATTGGTTATTTAGTTAATGCATATTAACTAAATTCGTAGAGAGAGAGTCCAATTATAATTCTGCAGCAGTCTGTAGATTCTCAAGTCCTTATACTCAACTTGGAAGTGAGCTGTGCCCTGGGAGAACGTCTCTGCTGCAGGTTTCACATGGCCCTTAGGTTTTGCCGTACTTCAATTCATCATTTTGAGAGTATCTTTTTTAAAATTTTTAATTGATTTTAGAGAGAGGAAGGGAGAGAGACACGGATTTGTTGTTTCACTTATTTATGCATTCATTGGTTCATTCTTGTATGTGCCCTGACCCGGGATCAAACCCACAGCCTTGGCATATCAGGACAACGCTCTAACCAACTGAGCTACTTGGCCAGGGCATCAGTCCATCATTTTGGAGGTAAGTAGAAGTTCTGATCATTTCCTAAAGTAGCAGTTAATCTGTGGAGAAACCTAGAGATATTTACATTTTCGACGTGTCTTACTAGGAAAGAAGGATCTTTAAATGCGTTAATCGAGAGTTAGGATTAACTTACTCGGTTCCTGCTGGCAGAGGTTAACGCTCTGCTATGTGTCAAGGAGTGATCCAGGTGCTGAGAGTGTCACCCTGTATGAAGTGTGGCGTTTGCCATTCAGCACTTACATCGTTGTGAGAGGGACAAGTCAGCGGAGCCTCGGGTAGGATGGTGGATCCGAGGTCCCAAAACCAAGGTGAGGAAGGCCTTCGAAGGTGAATGAGGCAAGGCCCCGCCCTGGAAGGAGTCACGAGGTCTCAGGGCTCCAGGCTGCAGTGTCCTGCCGCCATCTCCCCTTGTCCAGGACCTTGGGGACAGGTGTGTTCTGACAATTCTTAATTTTTTTTTTAATTTTAAGAAGTTTATCTATTGTAGTACGAAGCATTTAGTAACTCCAGGTAGTGTCTGGGTAGCGCTGCAGTCTGAGATTCTGCTATTGCTGTGGCGGAGCAGTTGTTTGTTCAGCATAGTGGTGTAGCCAAGTCTCTAAATAGCCTCCTGTCAGTTGAAGTCTGCTTTGCCACACATGCTTTTTACAAAGGAAGCTTTCTACATCGCTAAGATCTGGAAACAGCCATGTCCCCATCAGTAGATGAGTGGATAAAAAACCTGTTTGGCTCAGTGGTTAGAGCATCAGCCCGTGGACCCATGAGTTGCAGGTTCGATTCTGGTCAAGGGCACATATCTCGGTTGTGGTTCGTCCCCGTCCCGGGTCAGAGTCACACGGGAGGCAACCGGTTGGTGTGTCCCTCTCATGTTAATGCTTCTCTCTCTCTCTCTCTCTCTCTCTCCCCCCCCCCCTTTCTCCCTCCCTTCCATTCTATCTGAAGATAAATAGAAAACTATCCTCGGATAAGGATTTTTAAAAAAAGTTGTTCATATGCACAATGAAACACTATGCAGGTGCAAGAAAGAAAGATCTCTTATACTTAGAGATGAAATGGAGGGACCTGGAGAGTATTATGCTGAGTGAAATAAGCCAGTCAGAGAGAGACGAATACCACATGATCTCACTTATTTATGGAACAGAGTGAACAAAATAAGCTGTCGACCAAAAGACATCCAGAGTCATGGAAGCAGGGAACAGACTGGCAGACCTCAGGGGGAAGGGGAAGGGATTGTAAAGAGATGAACCAGACTTTATATGCACATATGCACAACCAGTGGACACAGACATCAGTGTGGGGAAAGCAGGAGGGAGGTTGGAGCGGGAAGGCGGAGGCCAATAGGGAAAAATGGGGGACATCTGCCACTCTTTCAACAGTTAAAAAAAATAAAAGTAAAATAGGAAGTTCTCAGTTTTCATTACTGTTCGGAGATTAGGACTGTGGGTAAGGAGATGAGAGTACAGCTACAGACTGGTGCTGCGGTGGGGCTGCAGCGACTGAGAGCTCATCCTGCGGTCACCGAGGTCGTTGGCAGGCCGTGGTGGGGCGTGGAGGGGAGCTGGAGGGCAGACCGGCGCCGGGCAGAGGCCGGGGCCGTTCCAGAGGACCGCTGCCTAGTCCGCGGGCCCGTGGTGTGTAGGCTGGACTTGGACAGCAGGACGAGGGCTGGGGATGCCGCTTGGGAGACCTGCAGCCGTGCCCTGGGGTGCGAAGGCTCGGCCGAGCTCTGCGGAGCGCGTGCACGTGCCCTGGGGTGCGAAGGCTCGGCCGAGCTCTGCGGAGCGCGTGCACGTGCCCTGGGGTGCGAAGGCTCGGCCGAGCTCTGCGGAGCGCGTGCACGTGCCCTGGGGTGCGAAGGCTCGGCCGAGCTCTGCGGAGCGCGTGCACGTGCCCTGGGGTGCGAAGGCTCGGCCGAGCTCTGCGGAGCGCGTGCACGTGCCCTGGGGTGCGAAGGCTCGGCCGAGCTCTGCGGAGCGCGTGCACGTGCCCTGGGGTGCGAAGGCTCGGCCGAGCTCTGCGGAGCGCGTGCACGTGCCCTGGGGTGCGAAGGCTCGCCGAGCTCTGCGGAGCGCGTGCACGTGCCCTGGGGTGCGAAGGCTCGGCCGAGCTCTGCGGAGCGCGTGCACGTGCCCTGGGGTGCGAAGGCTCGCCGAGCTCTGCGGAGCGCGTGCACGTGCCCTGGGGTGCGAAGGCTCGCCGAGCTCTGCGGAGCGCGTGCACGTGCCCTGGGGTGCGAAGGCTCGCCGAGCTCTGCGGAGCGCGTGCACGTGCCCTGGGGTGCGAAGGCTCGGCCGAGCTCTGCGGAGCGCGTGCACGTGCCCTGGGGTGCGAAGGCTCGGCCGAGCTCTGCGGAGCGCGTGCACGTGCCCTGGGGTGCGAAGGCTCGGCCGAGCTCTGCGGAGCGCGTGCACGTGCCCTGGGGTGCGAAGGCTCGGCCGAGCTCTGCGGAGCGCGTGCACGTGCCCTGGGGTGCGAAGGCTCGGCCGAGCTCTGCGGAGCGCGTGCACGTGCCCTGGGGTGCGAAGGCTCGGCCGAGCTCTGCGGAGCGCGTGCACGTGCCCTGGGGTGCGAAGGCTCGCCGAGCTCTGCGGAGCGCGTGCACGTGCCCTGGGGTGCGAAGGCTCGCCGAGCTCTGCGGAGCGCGTGCACGTGGCCTGCACTTCGGGGTCGTTGCGGAGATGCGGGGGTTGGGCAGTCGATTGATGTGAATGGGAAGGAGATAAAGAGCTGAAAGGCAGCCCTAAAATTTAAAGTGAGTTATTGGGAGAATGCTCAGGAAGTTAGGGTGAGGCTTGAAAAATTGGAATGACGAAAGCCACATTCTGTGAGGTGGACAGAAAGCCACCTGACCTCCAAGAATGGTCGGAGCCTCGCCCTGGGCTCTCGGTGGCCGTCGTCACCTGCTTTCACACAGTTTTCTGACTTTGAAATGATTCCACCCCTCTCAGATGCCCGTAGTGTCGATTTCCAGGGAGCTCAGCTCCATGCGCGCTCCACGCGAGGTGTAGATGGACGGCCCGTCTCTGCTCAGGCGGCCGTGTCCGCGGAGCAGCTGCGAAAGCCTGCGGGTGAGGACCCGAGAAGCCACCGCTCCCACCTCGGGGACATGCTGACGCAGCCCTGGGCGTGAAGGCCACCTACAGTGGGAAGCCTGGCGTGAGGAGGGAGCCTGTGGCCGGGGGAGCTTGGTCCCGTGGGGCGTGGGGAGCAGGCAGAGGAAGATGGGGAGGAAGTGGCTGAGGACCAGTCGTGTCCGGAGAATCCCAGGCACTGACCACCCGCAGCGGCCTTGGCTGATCGTGGTTCCGGTTTCCGAAGGGGGGCTCTGCACAGCTCGCATGTTCTCAGCGTGCCCCACTCCTGTCCCGCCCCAGGGCGCGTCCTGCTTTTCTTCCTGCGGCTGCTGTGCTCCAGGAGGCGGCACCTCCCGTGTCCCGTGCGGGGCACCTCGGGTCCTGTTGCCAGTTCATCCCAGTCACCGCCAGGGCTCGCTCTGGGGACCCATTGTTGCCTCTGCCGCAGGGAGGGGGAGTGAAGAGTTGTTCTGGAGGGAAAGCCAGAGGGAGGTCCGACCCCAGTTTGGCGTTCATTCACGGGTAGTGCTCACTGAAGGGCTGCCCAGGACCCGGGGAAGGGCTGGCCATCGTGACGGAGGAGGCATCAGTGGAGTAAGAAGTCACTCAGAAGCTCTCAGTCACCCTGTCGTCAGCTGTACCCGCCAGTGTCGCAGTGTGAGAGGGGTTTGCCTCCAGCGCTCTCCCCCCCACGGAGCCGTGGGTGCACGTTCTCCCCCCACTGCCCGGGGAAGGTGGGCGTGCGTGTGTTTCTCCCCGGTGTGTTGATTCTCTCATTTGTTCACTTATTCGGAATTTAGTACATATTTTGGAAGAGGACTTTTCATGTATAAAATATTATAGGTACTATTGGGATAGTCAGTATGGATTAAATAAAGTCATTAATAAGATACTAATAAATATATTAATGAAGTATCACGGTGGTATATAAACATTCTATATGCAAACAATACATTTAAAAATCTTCCTGAACTTATTTACTTTAGGTCTGGGTTATTTTTTTGTATTCAATATAAATATAAGCACAACAGAAGGAAATATTTTTCATATTATTTTTGTAAACAGTTTTAACAAGGATAAAATTTTAAAAATGGTTATCATCCTTGTGATATTCTTGTTGGCAGTATTTGTAGAGGTAATTTAACAGTAAGACTTGGTACAGATATGTATTGTCTGTAGTGCTTTGAAACCCTGTTTGGCCTCTTACAAGGCAGCACTTTTTAAACAAATGTAGTCTCCAGCAGGATTGGCAAGTCAGGTTTGTTGTGGCTGCCCGGGGATTCGGGTGCTGTCCTCGGTCCCGTGGTCAGCACAGGCTAGTTGACGTGTGGGGTCATGGTCACTCCTGCTCTGTGATGCTGTGAAAGGGAAGGTGATCAGTGGAGTCGTGTGTTGAAGTTGATATGGAATTTTCAGTGTTTGGGAAGCTCTACATGTTGCTTACAGCTTTTAATATTCTCCCTAGCTTTTCTTACTGTTTTCAATATTCTGCCTAACTTTTCTTACTTACTGTTTGTAATATTCTCTTTGCGTGGCTTGTAGGGTGAATGTTTTCTCAAACAGGTTACTTTGAGTCACTGGTTAAGACTCCGATACAGCAAGTGCCCATCTTCTCTGGAGTATCAGCACCATGACCAACCTTTACCCCTTCCACCCTGCTGGCTGGAGAGGGTGGAGGGTGGCCAGCACTCCGTCCTGTCCCCTCGCCCCCTGACTGGGACAGGACGGGGACTGTGCTTGACCTCGCCCTCTGGCGGGGTCGTGCTCAGCACTGAGTACATGTAATGGAGCTGAGCGTCACTGTATTTCAGAGACCTTTGGCAACTTTGACCTTTGACTAAAATTAGTGTTCATCCATTAATGTATTCATTTTTGTGCTGTTCTCCACGGGTCCTTTGGGATTCTAGGAGAAAGGATGTATCATGGTGGAAGTTTCCCAGTGCAGACGCACTAGAAGGGATGGTCTTGTGACTGTTCTGGTCACTTGTTCATAAATGAAAGCACAGAACGTCTCCTGAGGCGTTCCTGTTCGATCTTTGTTCACGACATTCCGGGTTCGCTTTCCTGACTAACCTGCTCATTAATGTACTAAATTATAAAAGCACTTTCATTAAAACCTTAGTTACGGGAGAGAACATCTCGTGTTCTCGTTCTTGCTGCCTCTGTGTGAGGCAGACTGAATCTCGCTAATGAAGGTTCTGGGGGCCTGCAGGACAGGCGGTCTTGTTTGTGGACCTAGAGGACAGGCCGCTTTTCTGCACAGTGCAGATTCCCACCCCAGTCCAGGGCTCTAGAATCACTGCGTATGTTGCCACTGATTTGGCAATCCATGAAAAAGTAGTGGAA